GATAAAGGGCCGGATAACACAAGCTGCGCCCGGCTTGGCTGGTGGAGCGAGCTGAGGCAAGGTGGCAGCATCTGATAAGGGGTGCAGGATTAGTCCCGGCACAGATCCCGCCTGCCCGGGCAATCCCACCTTGCTTGGCTGCCTCTGCTCTGTCTCTCGCCAGGGTCAGGGAGGGATCTGCAGCCCTGGAGCCGTCCCAGAGCGGCTCATCCCGCCCGGAGCGGCCGTGGCAGCACTGCCGGTGCCTCCACCACCACCTTGGCAGCTCTGGGAGCTGCAAAGCACATCCCTGGGCCAAGACGCGTGGAAAAACCTCATTTTTCTCCTTTTCGATTGGCACGCCCGGGTGCGCGGTGGGAGCAGGACAGCCCGGCTGTGGGGTCTCCATCTGCCCCAAATGTCCTTCCTCATCCCATCCCTTCCCAGCAGCCAGCTCCGACCTCCGGCCACCCCCAGGGATGAGGTGGGCAGCTCAGCCAGGCTTTGGCAGGGACGGGCAGCGCCCGTCACAAAACCGAGCGGGTCCAGCTCCCGGGGCGTTTTCGGCGACAGCTTCCCCGGGGCTCGGAGACCTGGGATAACAGAACTTGCAATGTTGTTTTCTCCTCGCCTCCTCGGGGATTGGTTTATCTCTATGAATAACTCCATCCCGGCTTTGATCTCCTCTGCCATTAAAGCGTGACAGGCTGTGAAATGTGCTGTTGCTGCCGTCAAATCCCGCTCCCACTTCCCCCCCCCGCCGCCTCCGTGCTCCCCCGCTCCGGGAAACCTCCTTTCCCAGGCCCGTGAGGAGCTGCAGAGCATCGAGCGGGGCCGAACCGCCCCGGGACAGCGGCCAAACACGGTGCTGGAGGCAGGAAAATCCCATTTCGTTCTACCATCACACACCTCTCGCTGGGGCGGGGAGGAGAGCGCGGAGCATCCCCGGGCCCAGCGCCGGGTCGGGTGTGGCGGCATCATCCCAGCACCCGCCACGGGGGCTGATGTCACGGCTAATTATAACCTCCCCCGTCCCTCGCCCCCGCCAAAGCTTTACCTGAGAGAGGGTAAAAATAACTCCCGGCGAGGGAGGAGCTGGAACGAGCCCAAGGACTCCTCCAGCATCTCCAAAACTCGCACAAACCAGGACGGCACCTCCCTGCCTGCAACACATTTTGTCCCCGATCTGGGGGTCAGGACGCGCTCCCCTTGGCTCCGGTGCCACCGTGCTCGGGGCTGCGGCTGTCCCCGGTCACCTTCAGCCCGGCTCGGGTGTCGGTGCTGGGACAGGTGGAGGTAACCGGAGCCGGGTCCTGCTCGTCCTCCCGCCCCACGCGGCTGCTGGGAACCAGCCCCGGCGCTCCCCGCGAGCTGTTTAAGCCGAGCGAAGTAGGTTAATGGCCCCAGTCGATGATGGAATGTTTTCATTACAGCAGCTTTCTCACTCTCTCTCCCTGCTGCAATTGCTCGCAAGAAGAGACATTAAAGCTCCCCGCGCCCCGGGAGCGGATCCGCCCTTCGCTCGCACCGTCGGGGACGGGCTGATGGCCCCGGGCAGCACCGCTCACCTGTCCGAGCCCAGCCGGGGCCAAACAACCCCCTCAGCCTGCAATTCCTTCATTCCATTTCCCTTCTCCTCTCCCTGCTAACAGCCAGGGCACAGGAACCCAGGAGCACCAGAAATCCCAGCCCAACCCCAGACTGCTCCTACCTGCTCCTGCCTGTCAGAGCATCCTCCGGTGCCAGTGTGTGTGTGGGATCATCCCAGTGTGTTTCCCAGCCTGCTCCCACAGGGCTGAACCAGCCCAAGTCTTGCAAACCCCCTCCCAGGAGCAGCCCTGGTGCTGTTAGAGCCCTGCCCTGCAGCTTGTCCCCATCAGACACAGGGCACCTGGGACCTGGCCCCACGTCCTGATTGTTCCCAGCCACTCAGTACACCTTCCTGACTCTTTTCCAGGAGGACTTTTCATCTCAGATTCTCTGGGATGTTCCTGACTCCCTTTTCCAGGAGGACTTTTCATCTCAGATTCTCTGGGATGTTCCTGACTCCCTTTTCCAGGAGGACTTTTCATCTCAGATTCTCTGGGATGTTCCTGACTCCCTTTTCCAGGAGGACTTTTCATCTCAGATTCTCTGGGATGCTCCCAAAAGGTGTAACCTTGATCTTGGCCTGATGAAATTTCATCCTGTGGTGCCGGCACTCATCCTCAAGGTCATCCACACTTTCTCCCAGGTCCCCAGGCAGCATCTGCCAGTTCCCCTCTTACACAAGGGCCCTACTGAAGGGAATATTGAGCTTGGGGAGCCCCAGGATGGGACAACCCTCTGTCACATCACAGATCCCTGCCCCTGGTGGGGATCCCCCAGTGCCTGTTCCACCAGCATCACCTGCCCAGGAATCTCAATAACTGTGCTGGTACCAGATCAGATTTTTTTCTGCGTTCCTGACTGATTTGTTCTCTCAATTTTTGGTGTCTGTGTGCGCCGGAATGTTCTCAGGAACCCTGCAGGGTGCACAGGGAAGGAGACACAGCGGCTGAACTGAGGGCTTGGGGTGAGTCTCTCCCACCCAGGCACCAGCCCAAACCTCCCATCCAGCCCCTGCACATCCAAGTGCTGCCGGATTTAGATTCTCCCCCTGAGCCGGTGATGGCAGTGCCGGGATGGGGCTGGAGATTGCTCTGTGGTCTCTGGATGCTTTTATGAAGTGCTGAGCACAGGAAAACAGCAAACCACGAGAAGGGGCTGCGCTGCTGCAGAGAGGAGACGCTTGTGTGCTCCCAGCAGCCGCTGGCTCCATCCCAGCATCCTGCACCAGAGCTGCTCCCTGGGACCCCCAGCCCAGCTGGCTCAGCAGCACCAGGCCTGGATGCAATTCCTTGAGGGAAGAGGTGGCTCCCTGTGCCCCACCAGGATCCGAAGCACGAGGTGACATGTCCAGCACCGACCGGGCTCTGCAGAAGGACTCACTGCCTGCACAGCACCCAAATCCTGCCAAGACCAGCCCCGCTCGGAGGGGACCTCACAGCACTCAGAACATCGGACTTGCCGGATTCTCACGGGCACACGGTGGTGCCCTGAGCACAGGGGGATGAGCCTGCAGGGATGGGCACTGCCAGGGCAGGAGGAGCATCGTAGGAGCCTGAGGACACCACAGCATCCACCACTGAACCAGGCATTTTGGGAAAACCTCTGGCTCCAGCTGCCCTGGGGATGAGTGCACAGAGCCTGGCATATGGTGGCTCTGGAGACAGCCGGGGACCCAGCAGGGAGAGCCTAGGCCTGGCTGGAGCAGCCGCTTGGGCTGCCAGGGCCAGACCACGCAAGGACGGAGGGCACGGCGTGGGGACCTGCACACCTGTACACCCCGTGTGCCCCTCGGGAGCCCCTCGGGCCCCCAGGCAGCGCTGGGAGCTCCCACGGCGCTTCTGGAGCCGGTGATGTCTCTGCTCTGTCCTGGCAGCAGGAGCCGGCCGGTCCCAGGGGGCCCGGGGAGCCCGCGGAACCGCCCCTCGCTCCTCCTCCCCTCCTGCTGCTCCTGATATACCCTCCTGGCTCCGGCCGCTCCGAGCATCCCTCTGCTCCTCTCCCTCACTCCCGCTCGCCTCACTCCTTTTCCCTTCTCCATTTCTCCTCTCTGAACTTGCTCCTTCCCCCTCCCCTGCTCTCTCCACCGAGGAACTGACTGAAGACCCCCAGACTGGGCCAGGGCAGGGGCCAGGACCCCCACAACAGAGCCAGGACTCCACACTACACCTGAGACCCCCAGGCTGCGCAATGCCCCTCCAGATATTCTGCACCATCTCCTTCTCCAGTGAGGAAGAACCAGAAGATGCTGCAGCCACTGGGAAGGGAGAAGATGCAGCAGACGAGTTCCTGTATGGGCAGGAGGAGGATGAAGATGATGAGGAGGACACAGGGGCAACCACAGACTTCGTGGCCTTTGCCAGCAGCTGCACCCTGCACGGGCTGAGCCACATCTTCGTGGAGGGCAGCCTGGGCGCCCGGCAGGCGCTGTGGGCGCTGGCCTTCCTCCTCTCCCTCTCCGTCTTCCTCTACCAGGTGGCCGACCGTATTGCCTACTACCTGGAGTACCACCACGTCACGCTGCTCAGCGAGGAGGACAGCCCCGAGATGATCTTCCCCGCCGTCACCTTCTGCAACATCAACCGTGTGCGGCTCTCGCAGCTCAGCCACCAGGACTTGCTCTACCTGGCTCCCCTGGTCGACTACGAGCCTGGGATGGAGCTGGGTTTCACCCCGGCCCAGCCCGACCCCTGGGAGGAGGACGAGCCCCTAAATTTGTACGGGTTTTTTAACCGCACTTGCCACCAGCTGGAGGACATGCTGCTGAGCTGCAGCTACCGCGGCCAGCGCTGCGGCCCTGGGGACTTTGCGCCGGTGAGTAGCCCCAGGGTGGCCCGGCACGGGAAGCAGCTCTGGAGCTGATCGGTGTCGGATCAGGCACGGCAGGTGATGCTGCCCTTGGAGCTTGCTCAGGGACAGGCTGATATTTCAGCCCCATCTGCCGGAGCTGGGGATGGCACCGGCTGTGGAGATCTTCTGGTGGGATGTGGAGCGCATCCCCGGGGCTGTGATGGCTGAGGAGGTGCCCGGCACCTCCGTCCTGGTGGCATCAGGGCTTGTGGGGCACCCTGTGGTGAGATCCCACTGCCCTCACGTGCCCTGGGCTGGCAGCAGCTCCGTGGCGCTGGGGCCATGCCGGCTGCCGGAGGAGAGAGCTGGAACGGCCAAGGAGGGATGGGGAGGTCCAGGATCCCATCCAGCCCTGTCCTCTGCAGGGATGGAGGAGGGCTTGGAGGAGGCACCAGTGCAGGCACCAGGCTGAGTGCCACCACTCTGGGGAGCCACAGCTGCTGTGGGCTCTCTGGGGCTGAAGGTGCTATGAATCTGCAGTGTCTCCTCCAAGTCCATCTCTGAGTTTTGGGGCTGGGGACGCTCTCCTGGCCCCGTGCTCCGCACAGAGGGGCCCCAGCCTCACCCCGTGTCCTCTCCTGCAGGTCTTCACCCGCTACGGGAAGTGCTACACCTTCAATGCGGGGCAGGACGGGAAGCCACGGCTCATCACCATGAAGGGGGGCACTGGCAATGGCCTGGAGATCATGCTGGACATCCAGCAGGACGAGTACCTGCCAGTGTGGGGGGAAACAGGTCAGCCACTGCCCCAGCAGGCCCACTCAATCCTGGGGTGCTACCCAGCCCCTACCCGCCTCCTCAGCCCCCTCCCAGCTCCCCAGAGCGCAGATCCACATCCCTGAGGCTCCCTTCTCCTCCCTCCTTCCATTTCTCATCACTTCTGGTCTTTTCTTTCCCTTTTCCTCCTTGTCTTTGCTCTTTGCCATGGCAACTCCCCATCGTTTAGAGACGCAGCCATCACTTGTTTATAAATAGAGGCAAATACTTTCCCTGCCACTGCTGGGTGTGGAGCAGGGGGGTCGGGGTGGAGGGGGCAAGGACATGGTGCAGCAAGCGGATGGACAGATGGATGGACACGTGGATGAATGACTTGGCCCAGGGGAAGCGTGGGAGGCAGAAGTTGTGGTCCCTCTCAAAGCAGGCTCAGCACAGCCCCTCAGAGCAGGGACAGTGCTGTGCTCACCCCACTTCTCTCTGCCACAGATGAGACCTCGTTCGAAGCCGGGATCAAGGTGCAGATCCACAGCCAGGACGAGCCTCCGCTGATCGACCAGCTGGGCTTCGGGGTGGCTCCCGGCTTCCAGACCTTTGTGTCCTGCCAGGAGCAGAGGGTAGGAACCGGGCAGGTCTGGGATGTTCCCTCCCACCCTGCACGAGCAGATCCTCCTCGCTGTGCCCCTGTCCCCACGCTGGATGGAGAGGAGGGCACGGTCCTGGGGAGCAATACCACGAGGGTGTCTGTCCCCTGCCACACTGGAGAGTGTTCTCTCCTCACTCCTGGCTTCTGTCCCCTTCCAGCTCATCTACCTGCCGCCTCCCTGGGGCGACTGCAAGGCCGTGGCGGGCGACTCGGAGTTCTACGACACCTACAGCATCACGGCCTGTCGGATCGACTGCGAGACCCGCTACCTGGTGGAGAACTGCAACTGCCGCATGGTGCACATGCCAGGTGAGCCCCGTGCCTGGCCTGGCCCCTGCCCAGCCCTCCAGTGTGGTCCCACCTGGAAAACCTGCTCTGTGTCTCCCCAGGCGATGCCCCTTACTGCACCCCGGAGCAGTACAAGGAGTGTGCGGATCCGGCCTTAGGTGAGGCTGCCCGGCCCCGTGGGACGGAGCTGCGGCGCTGGGTTTCTCCATCTCACCATGCCCCTCTCTCCCTGCACAGATTTCCTGGTGGAGAAGGACAACGAGTACTGCATCTGCGAGATGCCCTGCAACATGACCCGCTACGGCAAAGAGCTCTCCATGGTCAAGATCCCCAGCAAGGCCTCGGCCAAATACCTGGCCAAGAAGTACAACAAGTCGGAGCAGTACATCGGGTAAGGCGCTGCGGCCGCGGCGGCAGGGCAGGCTCTGGTCTCTCCATCCCAAACCTCAGCCTCATGCCGCTTCTGTCCTGAGCAGGGAGAACATCCTGGTGCTGGATATCTTCTTTGAGGCCCTGAACTACGAGACGATCGAGCAGAAGAAGGCGTACGAGGTGGCTGGTTTGCTGGGTGAGTGCTGGTGGCTGTGGGGAGCCTGTGACAGTCCCCAGCCAGAGTGCCCCAGCCAGGTGGTCTCGTGCTGGCCCTGTCACCATGGCCCGTTCCCAAGGCACCGGGATGTGCCACCAGCACAGACGTGGAGCAGGGCACCCAACTGCTGTGACCAGGTCACAGCAGTGACAAGTTCTGCCCCTTTCTCTGCTCCCTCTGCCCCCCGACTCTGGACTCAGGCCACCCTGATGGCTTCCCTCTCCTCTGCAGGTGACATTGGAGGCCAGATGGGGCTGTTCATTGGGGCCAGCATCCTCACAGTGCTGGAGCTGTTTGACTACGCCTACGAGGTGAGAGTCTCCTCCATCCCATGGCTGTGCTCGTGTGGGACATGGGGAAGAGCCACCCATGAGCCCCACGGTGCTGAAACGTGGCTCTGGCAGGTGATAAAGCACCGGCTGTGCCGGCGGGGCAAGTGCCGCAAGAACCACAAGAGGAACAACACAGACAAGGGCGTTGCGCTGAGCATGGACGACGTGAAGCGCCATGTGAGTGTGGGGCACAGCACGGTCCCCTCCTGCTTGCCCCTTTCTGCTCATCCCCTCCTGCTCATCTTCTCCTACTCATCCCCTCCTGCTTGTCCCCTCCTGCTCATCCCCTCCTGCAGCTCGGGGGCTGCCCGAGAGGCACTGTGGGGTGTGGAGTCACTGTTCTGGGGAGTGCCTGGGAAAGGAGCAGCGATCCCAGGCAGAGATGCTGTGGGGGGATGGCGCTGGGTCTGTGCAAGGACCTGGACGAAGCCAGCGGCCCCAACGTCCCGTTTATCCTGCAGAATCCCTGTGAAAGCATACGGGGGCACCCAGCAGGCATGACTTACGCAGCCAACATCCTACCTCACCACCCGGCCCGGGGTACCTTTGAGGACTTCACCTGCTAACCGACGTCTGGATGTACAACCTGAGCTACCAAAGCCCTGCGAGAGCTGCCCTTCTCCCCGCCAGCGCCAGCGGAGAGACACATCTAGGGGGCCTTTGCTCCTCGGCACGGTGGGACACGGACAAGAGCGACGGCCTCGGATTTCGGGGCGGGCAGTGGGGTCGGGCAATGCCAGACCCCGGCGCAGCCCCCGTGGCAGCTGCTCTGCGCCTGCTCTGCTCCTTCAGAGACTCCAGGACGCTCCAGCCCGGCCGTCCCGCGGAGCGGGAGCGACACGCACAGTGGGCCAGGGCACGGGCCTGCCCCGGCTCCCCCTTGGCTCCCCTCGGCCTTTTTAACTAAAACCCAGAAGCCAAGAAGAAGCAGCCGTTCGGCCGCAGTCTCCATCCACAGCCCTGTCCGTCTGTCCTCCGTCGTCTCCATGCTCATCCTACTCCAATGCCTTGGCTGAGCTTGCCGGGCCCCCTGTGCCTGGTGGGGGGATCATCGGGGAGCCCCCGGTGTGCCCGGCCCAGGAGTCCCCTGAGAGCGCCTCTGTCCCCCGGGACCGCAGCCCCGGCTCGCCCGGGCGCTCCCGGCACGAAGACGCAGGACCTCCACCTGTCCACAACGTCTTCCTTGGCCCCTGTCCCGGGATCAGCCCCGGGATCAGCACCGGGGTCAGCCCTGGGATCAGCCCTGGGATCAGCCCCGGGATCAACCCCGGGATCAGCCCTGGGATCAGTCCCGGGATCAGCCCTGGGATCAGTCCCGGGAGCACCAGAGGGGCTCAGCTGGGAGGTGCCACCTCGGCTCTGAGGACACCGGCCACTGTCCCTCCCCGTCCACCCCTCCTGGGCTCTGGGCAGCCTGGCCAGTTCCAGCACTGCCCTGCAGCCCCCCCATCCCCAGGTGACCCCAAACCCAGCCATCCTCGGGGAGAAAGGCAGAAGGAAACCCCTGGCCCCACGTGGCCACCGCCGCCAGCCCGGCCCAGCCAGGGACACCCCCTTGGCACCACCGTGGCTGGGCGGGCACCGGAGCCCCAACCCCCCCCGGGGGTCCTGGGGGGCTCTGGAGCTCAGCTCCAGCCCCGCTGAGCCTCGACAGCCGCTGCCCCGGGGGGGGTTGGGGTGTCTGTGGGTTCCCAGGGCCACCGCTGCCCCTTCCCTGGCACAGCCCTGCCCTGGCTGGGGTCCGTGGCCACCGGGTGGCTGCCCCCCGGGCCTGTCAGCGCCCACCACTCCCCTCTGGGGTCCCTGCTTGGCCCCCCAGCCCATCTTCAAGCCCCCAGGCCAGAGCCCTCCCCGGGCCCAAGTGCTACTTATCTTTAAGAGCTTTTGCAATAAGTCTTTTTAGTAATTTTTTTTTTTCTAAACTGCAGTTTTGGGTTTTTATTCTTGTCATTTTTATTCTTATTATTTGCTTCCTGACCAAAATTAGGAACTGGGGGTCAGTCCTTTGTATCCAGCAATCACCCAAAGACGACGGGTCGGCCACATCCATAAATTTTCTTATGGATTTCTCCTAACGTTTCATCTCGTTTCATTTATTTATTTTCTTTCTTTCTCTTTCCCATTCAAGCTTTTAAAGATGGGGCTGGGATTTGACCTTGAGGCTCACCTGTTGAAGAAAACGCTTTTTTGTTGTTATATCATCGGCATTTTATATTTCTTATATATAATATATATGACTATATATATATGTGTACATATATATATATATATATCTCTATATGCATCATGCCAGTGTAGATACCCATTCAGTAGAGTTTAGGCCTTGTTCTTGTGCCATTTTTTTTTTCTGTTACTGATCTCTGAATGCCTTCAAGTGTATAAAGTGTGGAATTCTCTCCGGTATCTGTACTATGTACACACATTTTCATAGGAAGCACAATAAGATGACAGATGCATTGTACATCAATACCTGCTACTCTTAACAACGATGATATAAAGAATGATATAAATGATATAACTCCCCCACGCCGAGCCTTTCTCTCTTGCTGAGCTGCTGGAAATGCTCCCCCGAGGAGGCAGGTGGGGACAGCCGCATCCCGGGATGCTCCTGGAGCCGAGGGAAAGGGAGGGGGAGGAAAAAGCTCTGGGCCAGACTTTAGTGCTGCCTGGGACGTGCAGAGTGTGCTCTGGGTCAGAGACAGCTGAGCCTCCCTTTCCTGGGAGCTCCTCGTGGAGCTCCAGCCTCGCTGCCTTCCCAAGGAGCTCCTCCCGAGGCACGCAGGGCTGGAGGAGGGAGCTGATTTCTGCTCCAGAGCAGGGAAAAGAGAATTAACACTCACGGAGCTCTTAATCCCTGACAACTCCAACACATCCGTGGTTTGGGACCCGCTTGAGCTCCAACAGGGGTCGCCAGGTGGAATTCCACCCTGGCAGGAGCTCTGGGAGCACAACCCAAATATAAACACACCTTCTGTCCTAAAAATTTCCAGCTACAGAGAGCAAAAGTAACAACAGAGCAGATCCAACAGCGGAGCCCTCGGGACTCCATGGAGACCGAATAATAGGGAGTGGGAGTGGGCAGGGAACGCTGAAATGCCAACGCACACACACACACACACCCCCTCCCCCCGGTCCCTTGGCTCCGACCGTGTCCCCTGGCTCCTGGAAATGGCAGAGGAGTGTTCTGCATCTCAACGAGAAGCGTCTCACCCCGCTCCGGTGCTGCAGGGGCCAGGGGGTGGGATTTGAAGGAGAACGGCGGGGCCAGGAGCGCGTTAATGAATGCGATTCATCACAACCAGAGCCGTGCCCGCTCCCTCCCCGGCGCTGCCCCCGGCTCCGGGGGCTGTAATCCCCCGGCTGGACCTGCTGGCTGTGCTGGGAGCAGGTCACCCCGTCCATCTGTCGCAGCTCGGCTCTCCGAGGGCTCGGTGAGCCTCAGGGGCAGCACAGCCCGGCAATTCCCGTGGAGCAGCAGCACGTACCGGGCAGGCACCGCCCGGAGCCGCTCCTGGATGGGGCGCGCAAAAGCTGCTCTTTCCAGGCACGAGGCTCCTTTGGAGCATCCTGGGACAGCAGCACTGGGCTGGGAACATCAGCCTGGTCGGGATCCTGAGCTCCGGACTCTTTGGGATCTGGGAACCTTCAGCCCGTTTGGGATCCACAGACACCCAGCCCACTCAGGGTCTGTGGGGATGCCGAGATTCCACCACCGCCCCTCGCGGGTCAGAATTCCCGGTCCCCCCTCGCTGGCAACAGGAGCTGAGGGACAATCCCACAGTCCTGGGTGTTGCTGTCCTGCAGCCAGAGCCAGGCTGGCTGGGCAGGAAAGTTTCCCTGGAGCCGCCAGCAGGTGCAGGGGAGGCATTTCCAAAGCTGTTCCACCAAACCCTCGGGGCAGGAGAAAGGAGGAAGGACGCAGCGAGGTCACCCCGGAGCCTCTTTTCCAGGCTGAATAATCCCGATTCTCCCAGCCTTTCCTGCCAGCAGAGCTGCTCCATCCCTCTGATCATCCCGGTGCCTCCTCTGGACTTGCTCCAGCAGCTCCACATCCTCCCTGAGCTGGGACCCCCAGGCTGGAGGCAGCGCTCATCAGATGATCATCATTAATTGTTTAATTAATACTCGTGGTGTGACTGCGCACTTGGCTTTTTCCATGGATTAATGCTGGATTTGTGTCCCTTTTCTCTCTGAGCATATGAAACTGCTTCAGGGAAAAGGAACTTAATGTTAATACTTGCAGAAAGTGGCCTTTAACTCCAACCTCCTGCTCCCTGTGGAACCCCAGGGGAGACAGGATTCCTTTTCCTGCTGCTCTGCCTGAACCTGCACAAACTGGACCCATGCATGGCCGTTTTGTTTCCCCCATAAATTTCATTGCTAAGATCCCAAAATCCCTGAGGTTGGAAAAGATCACCAAGTCCAAACTGTGACTGATCCCCACCAGAGCACTGAGTGCCACGTCCAGTTGTCCCCTGGACATCTCCAGGGATGGCGACTCCACCATCACCCAGCCCCTTCCAATGCCTGATCATCCTTTCCGTGAAATAATTCTTGTATGTTATGGAGGGCAGATTTGGTGCCGGGTGTCACTGCACATCGGAGCTCTCCATCCCTGGCAAAGGCACATCCACCTCCCTCCCAGCACATCCCAGAGCATCCAGGACCAGGGGTTGTAATCACGGCCAGGGAGCGGGGCTGACACCCCCCAGCCCTTCCCAGCGTCTGGCACAATTCCGCATCTCCAATTCCACCCCTCGTGGTCCCCGTTCTCGAATTTGCTTTTCGCATTCCCTGTCCCACATCCTCACGGTGCCTATTCCCTCCTCTGATCCCCCTTCCCGCACCCCCAATCCCACTCCTCAAGGTCCCCGTTCCCACCCCTGATCCCCCGGGACCCTGAATCCCCCATCCCACTCCTCAAGGTCCCGTTCCCTGGTTCCCCTTCCCGCACCCCCAAACCCCCCAATCCCCGCCGCTGGGTCCTCCCCGCCGCCAGGGGGCGCTGTTGGCGGCGGGCGCTGTTGGCTCCTCCCCGGCGCTCCGCGCGCCGCCAGGGGCCGTTTCCGGTTCCGCTCCCTTTGTGCGAGACAAGATGGCGGCGCGGGCCGGGTTCCAGTCGGGGCCTGCGAGCGGCGGCGGCGCCGGGGCCGCGCCCGGGGCCGCGCTGGGCCCAGGAGCGCCGGGCGGGGCGGTGCGCATGGGCCCGGCACCGGGGCAGGGCCTGTACCGCTCGCCGCTTCCCGGAGCCGCCTACCCGGTGAGGCGGGGCGGCGCGGGGCGGGGCGCGGGGCCGGGCGCGGCGGGCGCTGACCGGCTCTGTTCTCTCCGCAGCGCCCTGGGATGCTGCCGGGCGGCCGCATAGCGCCGCAGGGCCCGGCCATGGGTCCTCCCGGCTACGGAGGGAGCCCCGCGGTGCGGCCCGCGCTGGCGCAGGCCGGGCTGGAGCAGGCTCGCAAGCGGCCGGCGCCGCAGCAGCTCCAGCAGGTGCAGCCGCAGGCGGTGCCCAACCGCAACCACAAGTAAGGCATGGGGAGAACGGGGAGAGAGCGCGTCCCGGGCATAA